TATCTTGAATCATGAGGCCCCATTCGCCTGGTCTCCACGGTTCGTCTTTTGCCAGGATGTCTTTCCATTCTTGTGGGATACGACTAAGTAAGTATGGGAGATTGACACCTCGTCTGTGGCATCCTTTCAGTTGGGCGCTGATCTCTTGTTCTGTTATCCATTCTTTTCTGTCTTCCTTCCATAGGTGGTCTACCTTCCAAATACCATTTTTGACCCACGACAGCCATCTCTGTTCGAGAAAGAGTGGAGTGGGTTATCAGCCTCGTTTGTTAGCCATTCATTCCCAAAGAGTGGCTGTCTGAGTACTTCATCTTTGGACTTTGGTCTGTTGGTCTTATTAGGAATTATTTTCCTCCACGATCGAAGCAGTGCCAGCCAGTACGGAGTGTGTGGACGATGGTCCTCTGGTCTGTTGTTCCTGGTACGGCTCCTCCGTCCTGTCATTATCAGCCATTCTGTGTTCATTACCCAGAACAAGCCTGACATGTCGTGTGGGGAGGGAATTGGGGCTACCGATCTAATGCTGTCTAATGCCAATTTGTTCCAGGCACGTTCCGGTTTCATCAATAATTTGATGATCCATTTGATTTGCAAGGCTTTGGTTTCGGTTCCTGGGTCAATAATTCCTAGGCCTCCGTTCCGTGGCCTCCTTGTGACGTAGTGCCATGCTATCTTAGATATACATTTATCTTTGTTAGGATCGCCTGTCCAAAGGTAAAGTCTAGCTCTTCGGTTCAGTTCCTTGACGGAGCTGTCAGGGACTGTCCAAATGGAAGATATGTACCACATCATTGAGAAGATTGATGTATTGAGGACCAGCGCTCGGCCAATGAGAGACGTGAATGCGTTACCCCATCTCCCTATCTTATTGATCTGTTTTGTCAGCACAGCGGGGCCCATTTGAGGCGCCAGCCCATCTCTCGTCATTAGAATGCCTAGATATCGAGTAGGAGCGTCAGGTGTCTGCCACATCATGGCCGCCTCATCTCCTTGGAGTGAGAGGGGCTCATCTTCGGAGATCCACCATCCAATTGTTTTCCCCCAGTTGATCCTCATTTCTGAGGCTACTTTGAAGGTCTCCATTGCCTTGGCTAGAGTGTTGGAGCCGGCTGCAGCGCAGACGTGCTGTTGCGCCCCGGCCTTGAGTGTCCACGTTGACGCAGTCGGCGAGGTCGGAGGGGCCGACGCTGGCATTGGCGTTAGCGACCTGCTGCTCCAGCTGCTGAATGCGCTTGAGCATCTGGTCCGACGACTGTTGCAGCACCTTGTTAGCGTGGTCGAGGGAGTAGATGTCCTCTTGCTGTCCGATGCAAGTCGCGAGGAGGTCCGTGACACGGTTGAGCAGCTGAGATACTCTGCTCCCGACGTCAACGGGATCGCCGTTCTCGGCCTCTTTCTGCCAATCCTTGGCCTGTGCGTGTAATGCACTTTCCTCCCGGAATATAATCTCGCGTCGTCGTACGCATTCTTCATCAGCGGCCTTGGCTGCTGCTGCCGCGTGCTTCTGCCGTTGTTCTTCAGCCAGAAGACGTAGTCTCTCTGCCTCTGGTTCTTTCTTCTTCCGTGCTGCTGCCGCTGCGTCTGCTCGCTGCTTGGTTTCGGCCATGATGGCCGCCAACCGTGCCTCGTAGGCCTCGTCCGTCTTGCCTGCTTTCTGATCCATCGCTGCTGTCTGCGAGCGAGTAAGTATGGTCATGCACCGCAGGTCCCTGACGTGGCCTGCTGAAGCAAGGACTTACCTGGCCTGCAACTGCAGGTGAATGGGCAGGTAAGAAGGATGGAGAAGGGAGGAAGGGTTGGGGTGGAGAGAAGGGGAGTGGGCAATCGGATGGTCGCCCAGATATGGAGCCACTAATCAAAAAAATGTGGGAACTTTTGCAAAAATTTCGAACAAAAAAAAATAATTCCAAATTTGCAAGTTCGGTGGGCCCCTCAGATATCACCTCAGCAATTAATTCAAAAAAAAAAAAAAATCGAATTTCAGACTGCGAATGAATCAAAAATGGAGATACAGGACTGCGAAAACCGAGAAAAAAATATCAGTTCCCGCAAGTCCAGAAAATTCCGAGAACAAAAATAATATTCGGAATATCGTGGGTGAGAGTATGCGCCGTTTGAAAACGAACGCTTGCAAGAGGAATTCCCAAAAATAAAACGAATTTGAGAGAAAAAAAATTCGAAATTTTTGAATCTTCAAAAAAAAATTTCCAAACTAGACTTGAAGTCAGGATATCATCAGATCTCGATTCGGCCGTAAGATCGCTACAAGACCGCATTCAAGACACGGTATGGGCACTTCGAGTGGGTTGTTATGCCTTTTGGACTCACCAACGCCCCGACGACTTTTCAAGCGGCGATGACCAACGAGTTCCGAGCAATGTTGGACCGGTTCGTGCTGGTCTACTTGGACGACATCCTCGTCTATAGCCGGACCTTGGAGGAACATCTTGACCATCTTCGACGAGTGTTGGAGACGCTCCGGCGCGCCAAGTTCAAAGCCAACCGCGACAAGTGCGAGTTCGTACATCAAGAGTTGAAATACTTGGGCCACTTCACTCCACAAGGCATCAGTCCGTTGTCGGACAAGATTCAAGTCGTCCAAGATTGGCCGGAGTCACGGAACGTCACGGATGTCCGATCATTCCTTGGCCTCGCCGGCTACTACCAACGCTTCATCAAAGGCTACTCGAAGATCGTGGCTCACTTAACCAAGCTTCAATGCGAGGACCGGCCGTTTGACTTCGGGACGGACGCGCGGGAATCATTCTTGGCCCTCAAGGCCGCATTGCTTTTCGCGGAGGTATTGCGGATATACGACCCACTATTGCCAACGCGCGTCACCACGGACGCATCCAGCTATGGCATTGGTGCCGTCCTCGAGCAACATGACGGCGTGGACTGGCACCCGGTCGAATACTTCAGCAAGAAAGTGTCGGCCGTGCACTCCATCGATGATGCACGCAAGAAGGAACTTCTCGCCTTCGTCCACGCACTCGAGCGGTGGCGGCACTTCCTCCTCGGTCGACGCCAGTTCCGATGGGCAACGGACAACAATCCGTTGGTCTTCTACAAGTCTCAAGACACCGTCAACAGCACCATCGCCCGTTGGATGGCCTTCATCGACCAATTCGACTTCTTTCCCGATCACATTCCGGGGAAGTCGAACCGTTTTGCGGATGCCCTTTCGCGGCGTCCGGACCTCTGCACCGCGGTCTACTCAACCTTCGAGATCGAGGACGACTTGCGGGACAGCTTCATCCGCGGCTATCAAGCCGACCCCGAGTTTCGCGACAAGTACGCGAATTGTTCCTCTCCCAATCCGGCGCCTTCGCACTATCGGATCCAAGAGGGATACTTGCTTCTTCACTCGCGGGGGAAGGATCTTTGTGTGCCGCATCATTCACATTTGCACACCTGGCTTCTTGGCGAGTTCCACGGCGCCCCCGCCACCGGACACTTTGGAGTCAATCGCACGATTGGCCAACTACGCGAGCGCTTTTGGTGGCCCGGTCTCCTCGACAACGTCACTCGCTATTGCGAGTCATGCGAAGTTTGCCGACGTTGCAAACTTCGCAATCATCGTCCGTATGGCGAACTGCGACCATTACCGGTCCCCTTGCGGCGAAGGGAAGCGATTGCCATGGATATCACCGGGCCGTTCCCCAAGCAAGCACAAGACGGGCGTCGATGGGATTCTCACGGTGGTTGACCGCCTCACCAAGTTTACCATGTTCTTGCCTTGTCGCTATCACGCCAAGGCACCGGAGTTGGCCGAGGTGGTCTACGCCGGTTGGATTCAAACCAAGGGATACCCCAAGGAAATCGTCTGCGACTGCAACACTCGGTTCATGTCCGATTTTTGGTTGGCGCTCATCAAACAATGGGGCTCATCCCTCAAGCCAAGTTTGGCTCGCCATCCCCAAACCGATGGCCAAACGGAGAGGGCACATCAGACCGCACAGGTCCTCCTTCGAACTCTCATCCGTCCCGACCAGAAAGATTGGGTTGAGCGGCTGCCGGATGTCGAGTTGGCATACAACTCGTCCATCCATCCGGCTATCGGGATGTCTTCCTTTGAGTTCGAGCATGGCTCGCCGGTCAATTCTCCGTTGGACACAATCCTTCCACGGACGGCCGAGAGCGACGACCACCTCCTCTTCATTCGTCGGATGCAAGAACTTCTTGTCAAGGCACGTGACCAGATGGCAAAGACGCAGCAACGTATGCGCCAACAGGCCAACCGCCAGCGTCTTCCTTGTCCATTCCGCGCCGGCGACCGCGTATGGGTTTCTGCTGCGGAATTCAGCCTCGAACAAGATATCTCTCGCAAGCTCCTTCCGAAATGGATGGGGCCCTGGCCGATCGTGGCACCCACTGGGGACGCACCCGAAGGACCTTCGTTCATCATTCAGGTGCCCGCCCACTTGCCCGTCAACCCGGTTTTTCACCGTTCCAAGTTGGCCCTCTACACGCCAGCGGAACTTGACGACTTTCCCGGGCGACAATCGCAAGACCCACCCTCGATGGACGGTTTCCAAGAGGTTGGCGACATCATATCCCAGCGACGTTACGGCAACAGGCCGACTGAATTTTTGGTCCACTTCGCATATTGCACCCATAGAGCTGACCGATGGCTGACTCGTGCGGAACTTCAGGCAACAGCGCCCGATGCTCTCGCACGCTACGAACAGAAGTTGAAAGGCAAGCCGGCATCTTCGGCTCCACGATGCACACGCGTCCAAGTACCGCCTTCAGATCGTCAGCTTCACCCCCGACCGGCTTGACTTCATAAGGAGGGGGGGGTGTTGCATGCTGAGCCTGCACACGGGCTCCATTTGAGGGGCCCGACGGTTGCTGCGGGGTCCCCAGGCCGCGTACTATCCAGCACGCGCCCTGAAGGCCCACGACGGCCCTCCAGGCCCTAGGCAGCACACTAGGTAGATAGGCTGTAGTTTTCCGTTTTTTGGTGTGTGTGTGCTGTCTTATTTTTGTCTGTTCAGGTGCCGTCTCAGACTTGCAGCCCCAAGGCCGGACCTTGGGACTGGGTACACCGGAGGCAGGCCCGAAACGAGGCCAGGCGCATTTTGGCGCCAAACCGGCGTCGTTTCGGTCCCGCAGGACCCAAGACAGCACCTTGGGCCAGGTGCACCGGTACAAGGCCGTTTTTAGGCCAGGCGCATTTCTGCGCCATGCTGCAGCAGCAGCAAGGTCTGGACGTCCGGTAGGGACCCAGACCACCTGGGCCGTTTTAGGCCACACAGCACCAGGTAGGCCCAGCCGCCCAGCGCTACAAATAGCTGGGCAGCGGCTGGGCCAGGGACAGTTGGAGTCGCCCACTTCTGAGCGACATGCTGCTGGTTGGAGGCTGCGCCATGCTGCGCTGAGTAGCGGAGTAGGGAGTAGAGGTTACGGGAGRTAGGGAGTGGCGGAGGCCATACCTGCATCGGCGAGCTTACCTGGCACCATAGCTGGGCTCCACGCGGTACCTGCACACGACAAGGACACAGTCAGTATGGTGACAGCTACCTGCAGGTGAGATAACGAGGAGGGCTTCATCTTCTTCTCTCCCTCCTCCATCTCTCTCTCTCTCTCTCTCTCTCTCTCTCTCTCTCTCTCTCTCTCTCTCTCTCTCTCTCTCTCTCCTCCTTCTTCCTCCTTCCTCCTTATCTTCTTCTTCTTCATTCACGAGAGTGTGAGAGGTAGGGATTCAGGTAGGGGTTGTAACGGGCACATTGCCCAGGATCTGATTCGACATTTCTGGGACAGACATTGTTTGGACATTCGGCAAGAGACTATTTTGGACTGCGCTGTTGCGATCTTGGTCTACTCTCTCGCCTCCTTCTTCGTCTCGTCCCTCCCCCATCTCTCGTCTGTGGTATCTCCCCATGTATGTGCGCGAAGGAGGGACCTTCTTCCATGATTGCGGTCCCCCCTCTCCCCCTCACATGTGTGATGTATGATGGGTGTCGGGTCAGTCCAGATCAGATCAGATCTTCTCTTCAAATCTTCCGCTGTGCCACTTTGTGCCATCTTGTATGTATCGGAATGTACATTGCTTGTTGATGCTGCGCTGATCTTGCATTGTCCATTTCAGTCCTTTTCATCACATTGCGGATCCTTGGTCTACTGCGCATTGCTTTCCTGAGCATGCGTCAATAGGGTAGAGGCGGCCATAGCCGCCATAGCTGTAGTTAGTGTTCAGTGTGTGTGTGTGTGCGAGTGTTCAGAGAGACGCGTGTGGGATATCCAGGGTGATCCACTGTATGCGAACACAGAGTTGTATGGGCGCTTTATCGCCATAGCCATTGGAAGTGAACTCGTATCTGGGTTGCCATATCTCTGAGTTTTGAGTGGGCGCATGTCGCCAGTTTGCTGCGCTACTGTTTGCATGCATGTAAAGTGTGAATGAAAGCAAGTCTGATTGCAATTCCCATTCCACGCAACAATGTACATCGAGGGAAAGGGCTCCACTTGCCCAGATTCTGTTTTCCGAACCGTGAGACACAAATTCTGTGAGAGGGTTTTCATGAACCGCCCAGTAGGACCTCACTTTTAGTGGACTGGAACATTAGCACGGGCTGTGTGTTTGACGTTTGGAGTCTTTGGATAGTTGTGCTGTTGAATGCCAAGGCCAGCAGCCAGCTCCAAAACTCTCTCAAGGTCGTAAATCCCCGTTATAGTTGGATCATATCTTTGTGTTTCAGGCCCTTCAGGGCATTATTTGAAAGTTCCAGCGTGTATGCTGCCAGTGTCGCATCACTACAATCATAGAATGTCCGAGCGCCAATGTGCTCTGACGGTTCCGTAAAATTACAACCGTGGAATTGCAGCCATCGGTTTGGATGGATGGAAATTGTGCGATCGCCAGTTGATCGCCTAAGGAGCCATCAGCTTGTGATCTCATCTGTGGAAACCAGAGATACAACGCCCTGATGAAGATGGTGGGGCGTTTGTAACTGTGGGGTGAGGAGTGCCAGAAGCATTCTCCCTGCAACACGCAACTAGGTGCATATGCACCACAAGCATTTTTGGAAACAGGCTGCTGCACGCACATGCAACAAGGCCCGCTGTTCAAATCTAGAGGCCAGGTTGACCATGATCAGCAGTCGGCACTCCAAAAAATTATCAGGCGGCACACATATTGGGTTCCTGCAAAAGCAATTGGAGGGCCAGGCCCTCCGTGGATTCCTGCGAAGGGCCTATCAGCCCTCGGATATGTTTTTTGGACCAGTGCGGCATGCACAAACGGCCAATGGAGGGTGTCTACTGACCCTACTTCGACTTTTAGGAGCAGTGTGGTGCGTGCACTACCAAAGAGAATTTTGGAGGGTGTGTGCAATCCCCGTTCCCCTCCTCTCTGTTTGTGTGTGCGTGTGTGTGTGGTACGTGTAAACGGTGCATTTAACACCTCAGCCGTGCAAAGGGGATTTTTTTTTCTTTTCTTTTCAAACAGGTCCTTATGGTCCAGGCTCCTTTTTCTTTCTGGGGAGCATCGATCCGGTTCTCTTTTCCACCGGCAAGTCAGAATTTTACAAGACATACACGCTCACACTTCCTGCCGTTTGCCCACAATCAACAGAACAACACTATCCCATATCATCTCCCCTGACCATAACATTCTACTTCTGTGTCATGATGAGAATGTTTGATGTTCCTAAACTCTCACAAAATACTTCAGACCCCACGCAAGTAAATTACGTAAACATCAAATACCCACAAACATCGCAGGACAATTATTTTACACTCCTCATGACACAAGACTCACCTTACCCTTGCCCAACCACATGACCGTACGAACTACAGGCTGGGCATGCGTGCCCTCACGGTGAGTCAATTGAATGGAGGTGTAATGATTGTGCTACTCATATTAATTCCGTTTGAAATTTAAATTGTTTGTCAAATGGAGGTATCACACACAGTTTGTGCAATAGCCTGTTCAATCTTTTCCTGTTTTGCTTTATCATGCATTCACTGGGGAAGGCAAGTGGGTGACCTTGCTCTGTATGTTGGCTTGCATATTCATTGAGTTTATTTATTCTTCTCTCAGATTGTTACGTTTCTTGACAGTGTTCCAATTCTGGCTACGTTAAGCAGTGGAGAGAAGCTTCGCCTTGCAGACGGTGTGGAGGAGGTGAGTTGGATAGCTTAACAAATGGATGGACGGTTTATGTGACTGTAGGTTGGGTTGATGGATTTTCTTTTTCCTTTTGTGCAACCCTACAATGGCAATCTGTGGGGGGGGGGGGG